TATGAACTGCTATCACTCTCCACTATTGTGTGAACTGCTATCTCTCCCCACTATTGTGTGAACTGCAATCACTCTCCACTATGTGTGAGTTGTCATCACTTTCAACTATTGTGTGAACTGCTATCGATCTCTACTATTGTGTGAAATGTTATCACTCTTCACTATTGTGTAAACTGCTATCGCTCTCCACTATTGTTAGAACTGCCATCTCTCTCCAATATTGTATGAACTGCTATCACTCTCCACTATTGTGTGAACTGCTATCACTCTCCACTATTGTGTGAACTGCTATCACTCTCCACTATTGTGTGAACTGCTATCTCTCTCCACTATTGTGTGAGCTGCTATCACTCTCTACTATGTGTAAGCTGCTATCTCTTACTACTATTGTGTGAGCTGCTATCTTTATTCACTGTTGTGTAAGCTCTCCTGTGCCCGATACACCAAGATGCAAAATAAAATGCAATTATAACCGGTGAGTGTAATTTTACTGGAAGTGAAATTAGGAAAAGGGTTATCTAGATTATTAACCTTAAGAAATATAAAAAACAAAGAATAATCTGTTTTTTACCAATAATAATCGATTTTATGAATTTATGTTTCAATACATTCTTTATGAAAGAATACAAATTATCAGCCAATAATAATCCAAGTTATGACTGTACGTTCTAATATTAGAGATTATCGATTTAATACAAAATTACTTTTTGTATTCCGAAGATCACACACAATTATATGACGAACCTGAACAACTTAGGGGGGTGGACTGGCCCTTTGGTGGAGCTATGGATTTCGGAGCTGGCAACCTGGGTTTGAATCCATGCGATACCACAAAATATTTTTCGCACTTTAACACGTGGCTGCGTTATGAGAGTGACAGTCAATTTTTTAGTGTGGCTTGTAGGGTGCTGCTGGCTGGCTGCCCTTTTTCTGATCAGCAGCTCAAACTTAAGGGCAGCGAAAAGTAACCTAATTATTTTTGCTGTAAATACAAAACTGGAGGACTTTGATTATGCTTGCTAAATATTTGTTATTTTTAATAAATACTCTTATATTTTATTATTAAAATGTTTAGTCAGAACTAAAACTTTTGAATCTGTGATATTTTACCTTGAAAAAACTGTAGCCCGTGGTTTGAAGTTTTCAGTTCCTCCTAAACAATTGGATTTTGCTTCATATTTAAGCAGGTTGTTGTTAACCATTGACTCACTAGATGGCAGGTAGTTTGACAATACTAAGCTGTAAAATCTGCTTGGCTCTGTTCTTTTAAAACTAAAAAATGGAAACAGTTAAATTTCTGAAAGACTGTTATTCTGAAACATGCTAAAACTAAGGTCCCAATTTAAGCAAACAAGGCTATGTTGAGATCGTTTTATCGTTTGTTAACCCTCGCCGATATTTTTACATCGTTATCTTGCTAACAAGGTTCAAATTTTCTACACTTAAAATGCTGTGCTCTTACAATAGCCTTATTTGTCTAGACATCTTGTTATCTTCATTTTTAACAGAAATTATTATAAATAACTGCATTCTAAACGTCATATTACCATTTAGAGATTTGACACTACTGCTGAATATTTATATTAGTGAAATGGTAGTAGCAATTGGATTGTCATTCACCTTCCTTATTGTAGTACACGCTTAATTGGCTTTTTGTTGTTTTGGTAAACAATTTATTAACCTTTATTTAAATTGAGTCGTCAGTAAGTTATGTGTTATATTTATAATTTTGCGCTCATTAAAAAGAAACATTAAAAATGAAGTAAACAAATATTGATATTAATGAGTACTTGAAGATTTCATAGTGAATTTTCTTGTTCATATTTTTTAAAATGTGGGGTCGCTAAAAGCAGAGGCCTAACTTTTTCCAGAGAACCTTGCATCTTGTACTGTTGTTGCATTGTTAATTATTGTGAGACGAAGTTTAGTCTAAAAATTCATAGTTTTAATCTTAGAACTACCAATGGTACCTCACCTATTTTTTCAACACATTTTTCTAAACTATTTATGCACCAAATTACCCTGTGGTTACGTGGACCTTAGTGACATATAGCTCACACACAGACAAAAAAAAAGGTAAAATATCATCTTTACTGTAAGTATTCCCAATAACTAATCATGAGGTTCCCTGTGCATTTTACATCGATAATGATCGATTTCATCCACTTTGTTTACACTGAGTGTTGTGACAGACAAAACCATAAAATTACTTGATATGATACAGTATGTGGAATCCACCAACATTGAACAGCATAAAAACAAGTCAGTAACTCAAGGGTTAAATTGTACTTCCTAATTTTCTGTGTCAGAAAACAAATAGGAAAGAAGAGCTAAAATATTGAATCTTCGTACAAATTGGGAATAAATTTAAATGAAGGTTTTAACAATTATTCATATGAATTTGCATTATTACAAATCACTTTGAAAACGAATTTAACAACCAAAACGTACTCTTCAACAACGTCCTTTCAGAATTTTTTTTTTTAAATACAAACAATTTTATTACCTCATATATTACAGTAACAACAGAGTGAAAAGAAAACTCGCACACAAATAATAATGAGTTGGAAGCAACATTAAGAGTGGAAGTTGTTATTATCACATATTATGACATCACAATCATGATTATTCTTTATCAATATTTCAACAGAATCATTCTCTATAATATAAGACAAATAAATGAGAGAGATAAGACGTACAAGGTAAAAAAAAAAGACTTTATGGTAACAGAACTGTACATACAGAAAAGACACTCCCAGTAGATAAAACAAACTACATACACTTATGCTAAAATACTAGCATAAAGCTTTTGTAGACATTAATTTTGTATAACAAAAATTTGCTTCAGTCACACTTTTACAGTTCTTTTTCTCATTTATTGTATCTGGTTTGACCTTACCATTACTCAATGAAACTCTAAAACTTCGTTTATATCTAGCTCCATTGTTAAGCATCATCCATAAAACCATTATAAGTCACATGCAGAATTTTTAACCCCAATCCAATTAATATTTTCTTGACTTAACAACTAGTTAAATGTTGAAACATCATGATGTATGTGACAAAACTGTCTTCAATTCCAATTTTGTGTTTAAAACTACCAGTCTCAGAAACTTGAAATGCTGGAGTACCCATTCAAGAATAACCAAACTTTTTTGTGTTATGGTGACAACAAAAATTAAAATTTCCCATATAAAGAATGGCAACAAAATTAAAATTCACCTTTGGAGTATAACATGAAAGTTAGTTTGTCAAGCGATAATAATTACATTTAAAATTAGAAACCTGGTGTTACCCATTTTGGTACTTGTTACCATTTTTCTATGTAAATGAAAACATTCACAGACAACTTCTTAATTACTTATATGTTGGCCACTCAAGCACATGTTCATAGGCATTTTCTTCAGCTTATTACAGAAGTTTTAAGAACAAGGTTTCATTAAAAGACACCTAGATCTATAATAACAGACTGTGAAGTAGCATACCATGAGTTGAAATTAGTTAAGTATTTCTTTGACTTAAAAAACACAAGTATGGATTTCAAATACTTGGTCTTAGAAACTAATGGATGATTTTTATCTGTAATTTAATTAATATACATATATATAACAAATGGATAGATACGATTATTAATATACAGCTTAGAAATCTGAGAAATTTGAACTTTGACAACATTCAGGAATTAACTTCCTTCAAAACTCATAAGTATACACACTTACGCACAACAAAAACCTACATTAAACAAATTCCACTCAGTTCACAAGCAAAAAGTTTTAGTAAACACAATAAACAATTTTAGCTAAACAGATTAACATGTAACACACTTTAGTGACACCTACAGTGTGGTAGGCCTTTTGCAAGCTTCACGATATAACTGAGAAAAAAAAAATTGTCTTGATTAATGAACCCCTTTAACACTGTTATACTGATCTCCAATGGTCTTGATGGGTGAAGGACAAGACAACACAGAAAGGGATGACAGTTGTGGTACATCAGCTGTCCTGTTCATTGTTATTGATTGGAAGATTTCTGTTTGTGGATCACTATATTTGATTTTTGTGTCATTAACAGTTTGTGATTTTTTAAGAAAATAATCATCATTTACACAAGGATTTCTACTTTGCATCTGCATAATTTGAGAGAGACTACTGTTTACGTATGGTTTACAAGCTTGTAAGGAACCTTGTTCTCTGCTCTTTACATAGGATAAGTGGGTTTTCTTGGTTACATGTGGTGTGTGGACTAGTAAGATATCTTGACTGTTAACATCCAGTATGGTTTATTTATTTATGTCATCTAAATGTGCTGTGTAGTTGTGCATATAGCCTTCGTATGGACTGTTTAGAAATAATGAGTTGGTGTGTAAAAGGAATTTATCTGGTCTGTTCACATGGGGTTTATAAGCAGCTTGAGGAGTTTTATTATTTGTATGTGGCATACACACCTGTGTGAAAACTTCATCTTTACTCTTTAACTGTGGTTTACAGTTGTGCATGGGACCTTGTTTTCTACTCTTTACATGTGATGTAGAGGTTTGCAGGGGACCTTGTTCTCTACTCTTTACATGTGATGTAGGAAATTCCAGGGGACCTTGTACTCTGCTCTTTACATGTGATGTAGAGGTTTGCAGGGGACCTTGTTCTCTACTCTTTACATGTGATGTAGGAGATTCCAGGGGACCTTGTACTCTACTCTTTCCATGTGATGTAGGGGATTGCAGGAGACTTTGTTCTATTCCTTTTACATGTGATGTAGGAGATTGCAGGGGAACTTTAGCTATATTGTTTACATGTGATGTATGGGTTTGTAGGAGACATTTAGCTATGCTGTTCACATGTGATTTATGGGCTTGTGATGGACTTTTAGCTATGCTGCTTACATGTGATGTATGGGCTTCTAATGGACCTTTAGCTATGCTTTTTGCATGTAATGTATAAGATTGTAAAGGACCTTTAGCTATACTGTTCACATGTGATGTATGAGCTTGTAAGGGACCTTTAGCTATACTGTTCACATATGATTTATGGGCTTGAAAAGGACCTTTAGATATACTGTTCTCATGTGATGTATGGGCTTGAAAAGGACCTTTAGCTATACTGTTCACATATGATGTATAGGATTGTAATGGATATTTAGCTATACTGTTCACGTGTGATGTATGAGCTTGTACGAGACATTTAGCTATGCTGTTCGCATGTGATGAATGGGATTGTAAGGGACCTTCAGCATGTGATGTATGGGCTTGTAATGGACCTTTAGCTATGCTATTTACATGTGATGTATGGGCTTGTAAGAGATCTTTAGCTATACTGTTCACTTGTGATGTATGGGATTGTACGGGACCTTCAGCTATACTGTTTACTTGTGGTGTGTGTGATTGTAAGGGACGTTTAGTTATACTGTTCACATATGATTTATGGGCTTGAAAAGGACCTTTAGTTATACTGTTCACATGTGATGTATGGGATTGTAATGGACATTTAGCTATACTGTTCACATGTGATGTATGGGATTGTAATGGATATTTAGCTATACTGTTTACTTGTGATGTATGAGATTGTAAGGGACCTTTAGCTATGCTATTTACATGTGATGTATGGGCTTGTAAGAGATCTTTAGTTATACTGTTCACATGTGATGAATTGGATTGTAAGGGACCTTCAGCTATATTGTTTACATGTGATGTATGGGCTTGTAATGGACCTTTAGCTATGCTATTTACATATGATTTATGGGCTTGAAAAGGACCTTTAGTTATACTGTTCACATGTGATGTATGAGATTGTAAGGGACCTTTAGCTATACTGTTCACATATGATTTATGGGCTTGAAAAGCACCTTTAGTTATACTGTTCACATGTGATGTATGGGATTGCAAGGGACCTTCAGCTATACTCTTTACTTGTGATGTATGGGATTGCAGGAAACCTTGTTCTTTACTCTTCACACCTGTTATTTGGGCAGCATGTAAGAGGCATTTCTCTTGCTTGTTTACATGTTGTAAATGAGCTTGTATGAGACCCTTTTCTGTATTGTTTACATGAGGTATGTAGGCTTGTAAGGAAGCTATTTCTTGACTGTTTTCATGTTGTGTATGGGTTTGTAGGGGACATTTAAACCTACTGTATTCATGTTGTATATAGGCTTTTAGGGGTACTTTTGGTCCACCTTTTAGGTATGGTATGTAGTTTCTATTGGACCAAACATCAGAATGGTGACTATTCATGTAAACACATGGTGACTGTGTTTTCTTTGATGAAGGTGAGAACAATTGAGGCTCATCAGGTTTCTTTGCCTTCACTGTGAGGTCCAAACAATCTTCGTGCTCAGCAGAAAATATTACCACTTTTGGAATTTCAGGATTTTTCTGTGTGTTTAGATGATTTGTCTTCATGCTGAGATCCAAAGCCTGGTAGTTTTCAGCACAAAGACTTGTAGTTGGAGTCTTGGAGGATCCTGCGTGGTCAGAGTTTACTGGAGATAAAAAAGCTTGGGTTGCTGATGATACACGATTCTTTGTTGTCAGATTAGCATAATACCCATTGTGGTCTGTTACTATTGGCTTGCAAGAGTCATACTGATGATATGAAGTAGATGGGGAAATCGTATTGTAATGCTGAACATACAGTGATAATGGTCTTTCATTCAAGGCCATTACGGTGCATTCATTGACCTTCTGCATAGCCTTGGAATTTCTGTTCAGGTTCAAATAGCCTGTGCAAGCAAGAGCTTCAGTAGTTATACTTCTTGCTTGGTGTGTCTTGATAGTACAAGAAGGTCTTCTGATGCTTATTTGGTTTGAAGCTGAGAGTGAGGAAGAAGATTGTATTGTAGAAGCTAAACATCTATGTAATACCATGGAAGATTCTTCTGTAGGAGCTAATGATAATGAAATTAAATTTCCTATTGTAGAAACTGAAGATAATGATATGGAAGATCCTACTGAAAGAGTTAAAGGTACTGACATGGAAGATTCTATTGTAGGAATTGAGGATACTGACATGAGAGAGTCTACTGTAGAAGTTAAGGGTACTGACACAGAAGATTCTACTGTAGAAGGTGAGAATAAAGACATAGAACATCCTACTGTAGGAGCTGAGGGCACTGACACAGAAGATTCTGCTGTAGGAGCTGAGGATACTGCCATAGAACATTCTACTGTAGAAGGTGAGAATAAAGACATAGAACATTGTACTGTAGGAGCTGAGGGCACTGACACAGAAGATTCTGCTGTAGGAGCTGAGGATACTGCCATAGAACATTCTACTGTAGAAGGTGAGAATAAAGACATAGAACATTCTACTGTAAGAGCTGAGGGCACTGACACAGAAGATTCTGATGTAGGAGCTGAGGATACTGACATGGAAGATTCTACTGTAAGAGCTGAGGGTAGTGAAATGGAAGATTCTGCTCTAGGAGCTGAAAGTACTAACATGGAAGATTCGACTGTAGGTGTTGAGGATACTGATATGGAAGATTCTACTGTAGGAGCTGAGGATACTGATATGGAAGATTTTACTGTAGGAGCTGAGGGTACTGATATGGAAGATTCTACTGTAGGAACTGAGGATACTGACACAAAAGATTCTACTGTTGGAGTTGAGGATAATGACATTAAAGAATCAGTTGTAGAAAATATGGGTAAGGATCCTGAATACCCTCTTAAAGAAGATACAGTTAATGAGGCTGGAGGTTCTGTTGTAAAAGTTGAGGCTAATGAAACTGTTGATTCTGTTTTATCAGATGTAAGGAAAAAAAATGGTGGTATTGTAAAAGAATATGTTTCCAGAGACATTGGAGGCTCTGTTGCACAAGTTGACGACAATGGCATTGGAGAATTTACTATGGAATGTGATGTTAACGACTCCTGAAAGTTTGATGCTGAATTTATTGGTAATGAAGTGTCACTTGCTGATTTGAGTGTTTCTGGTAATGATGAGATTACATTTATAGGATGATATGACTTATTGAGATGTAAACAAACAGGAAACTTTCGTGAATTGGTTGTAGATATTGGTGAGTGTACACTGACAAAGTCTGGAAGTTGATGGGTAATATGTTTCTCTATATTATTGAAGGCCTCTAACTCATCATCAGGAGATGAATATTCTGACATAGGACAAATTTTCTGCAATTTAGATGATTTCACTTTCTCATTATGTTTAATAACAGAAGGGCATACAGGAGACTCCTTTTTATCAATCAGTTCCTCTCTATCTAGATGGTTATCTGAATTAGCTGTTGAAGTATGGGTAACAAAAACATTTTTGGATTTATTACAAACTGTAGAATCAGAGGTGGGACAGACAGTTGCTTTACAAAAAAAAAGTGGAGCCATAATGCTTGTTTTGCAAACTGATTTTAGTTCTTTTATGTCAGATTTCATGGAACTTTTGGTTTTCGCATGCTGGGTCAGTAATGCATTGTTATTACCAACAGCTGAAGTAGTCTCAAGGCTGATTGGTAATACAGTATTGCAAGGATACTTCGTGGATAATGGTTGTTTGTCCAAAATGTTCTCCACTGTATTCTTCATCTCATAAGGCAGATGTGAGGAGGACTGTTCAGGAACAGATTCGCTGTTATTATTCTCTTGCTCATCCAAGTGAATACTTGATAAACTAGAACCAGTTAGTTTCCGACTTTGTGAGAGGTTTAACCTGGTAAGTCTGTTAGTTTTACCATGTGAGAGTCCAGGCTTCACTAAGTCCTCGTAGTTCACTGAGCTGATGTTAGAGGTCACTCTTAATGAATTCTTCTGTTTATTCTGGAGTTGAGATAAAGTAAACGTTGCAGTTCGAAATTCCAAGCCAAACAAAACTGTTAATACGTTAGTGTAACAAAGTTACTGACAGTTAGATGTTAAAAGTAAAATAGAAATTATTCAATTGTTTCTGAAAAACTTAAAAGTATTTACAACCAAATTTCTGTCTGCTTGTTGTATGTGTTAACTAATTTCAACAAAGACAGATGTACAATATAACATGAAGCATCTTAGGAGAGAATTTGTCTTACTTAAAAACATCTTTGTTGGAAACTAATGATCTATTTTGGATAGTATAATGAACTTCTGTCATTTGCAGTAGTTTGAAAACAATGTTTCACACTGCTGATGCAGTTCAGTCCTGATGACGACCTGCATTATGAGTTTCGAACTTAGTTTCCAAACTATCAAAATGAACACAACTCATTTTGTTATCCAAAGAGAATTTGACTATATTTCTTAATAATCTTTCACTTCAACAATAATTATTTCATTATATACCAATCGAATTATATAAGATTACAATTTAACATTTTCCCATTTATCTATGACAGTAAGTACTCTTAAGGAAGGTTAGTTATTCATTAAAAAATACCTAAAATAATGGCCGTTTTAAAACATATAATATTGCAACTAGATGGAAATTATTCATTCTACTAAAAGTGCTTATAAAGAAACAAATAAAAATTACAAAGAGCAGGAAATACTTCTTTTGGTTATTATTTCCTATTTTTATATAAAAGATTATGCATACCAAGTTATAATCCAAAGTATGTTTTCTTCTCGTTTTATTACTTCCTCGGTCGTTTTTCATGTTTATGTTACTTCTCATATACTGAAAAAATAGCATTATACTTTAACTCGGAAGAAATTAAATACAATTTAAATCTTGAACAGAATTTGATTTTCACCTTTAAGGCAAATAATATAAAATACGTATCATAATATAAAAATCTATATTTTATTTTCAGTTGTTCCTGAATATCAAAAGTCTATTTTTGTTTGCTTCGAAAAGCCCTTCAAATATCTAGTCATTACTACAGAATGCTTAACACTTGGTAAAAGTGCGTTTGTTTGCTACAGTCTGACTTTTAAAATTACTGGATTCAACTTACTATACGAATAGCTAGGTGATCAGAAATCAGGGGCGAATTTAAGCCTAAATGCCTAGTCAGCTAAAAAAGAAAATGGGGCCCAGCGAGCTTTATTCATGCCAATACTATACCTCAAGGGAAAGCACATAATTTCAACAGATAGCTGAATAAAATGATAGACTTAATAAATAAAATGAAATAAAATACAGTTAAAGTAATCTATTTCTAAAAAAACATTATATGTATATGAAGGGGCCCGCCTAAAGAGTAGCCCGGTCAGATCCTCCCCCTTTCAGAAATGTGTGTAATTTGTAGAAAAAAATCAGCCATTCCAATTATTTCATACTTGCTAGTAGATTGTAACATCTGTGAATGTACAAGAAGTGTTCAGAAAGGAACAAAAGTGTATTTCCAATAAACCAAGTTTATCATATTATAACCAACAAATACATGTTACTTATGTGATGAATAAGGAAAGATAGCACAAGCTAACTTTACCTAGTAAACCCTAGCACAATCTACTATATTTTAAACAATTCCTTACTTTTTCTTGTGGTTCTTTTCTCTTCCTCCTTGATTCCCATTTTTTTTCTTGTTTCTCTAAATCACTGATCCGTGTATTGTACTGACGACACACCTCTGATTTACTACAGATATATGGAGCTTTTTTTCTAGTTCTACCTTGGTTTTTATGGGAAATTTCTGATGTGCATCTGCGTTTATTAAACATCACAGAATCTACTATTTCCTCTACTCTCTGGGCATTCCTACTTGGCATTATTTTCTTTTTTGTCCTCCTGAACAGAGTTGTTGTAAGTAGAAATTGGGTAATATTTTTTTCAAATGGAAGAAGCAGCCTGTAAAATTGTAAGTAACAAAATGCGGTATTAAATTTTGATCATTATCAACTCCCACTTAATAAGACTCTCAAATTTAGGAAACACTTCAAGTAACATAAATGATTTTACACAATCTTTGTAATTTATACTGATAAGTTTACGACCTTAGACTTAAGTTAAACGAAGATTTGTTTCACCCCTCTTTCTTTTGTTTATGCACTTTTATCAAGGACTGTAGTACGATGATTCTTTCAAAACATTAAGGGCTTGGTACGGCCTTGTGGTCAGAAGGCTCGACTTGCAATCTGAGGGTCGCGGGTTCGATTCCACGTCACCAAAAATGGTCGCCCTTTCAGATGTGGAGGCGTTATAATGTGACGGTCAATCCCAATATTCGTTGGTAAAATGGTAGCCCAAAATTTGGCGGTGGGTGTTGTTGACTAGCTGCCTTCCCTCTATGTCAGATACACACGACTGTTTCATTTAGATTTAATAACAGAGTTATGATTTACTTAGTTATAAAGTGTTAAATTTAGCATTTTTAGAAGCGATAATTTATCGCAGGTTTATTTACGTAACTGATTACGCATCATTTGTTGTGTAGATCAGTTGTTGTGAATTGACGCCATGTTACTCGAACCTTCTGAATTTTTCTCGTTGCATTAAGTGAGTATTGTTACATCATAACGTCTAGTAGTTTGTAGAAGGTTCTAGGCCTCAGTCGAGCAATATATATATATATAGGCAACCAATTAAGGAAGTTAAGTCAGTGGAAGTAAAAGTGAAGTTAGACTGCGTGGTTGTCAGTTTAGCCTCAATGGGGGATTCCAAAGTGGGTGTCACAGCTTGTATTGTAATGACAGAGTAGAGGAGTTTGATTTGGTTTGTTTCGAATTTCGCACAAAGCTACGCGAGGGCTATCTGCGACGAGTCAGTAGCTCCAGAGGTAACATCTTGCGAGACATGTATTCCAGAAGTAATGTGTGGCGAGATATTGACTCTTGGAAGCAACGTATGGCAAGACATTGACTCCAGAAATAATCGGGGAACAAGAAATTGGTTCCAAAAGTAAAAGAGGAGGAGTCATTCACTCCAGAAGTAATAGGTGACAAGACATGACAAAAGAAGTAATAGAAGACGAACCACTGATTCCCGAAGTGGAAGAAGACGAGATATTGATTCCAATAGATTTTAGGGTCTACAGAGTAATTAGGCTCACAGAAACACGACACTATCGTTACCAAAATGTTTTTGGAATACCAAAATTGGGTAAATAGAAAAGATAAGTATAGTGGTATAACTTGGTATCTTACTGTGAAATAAACATTAAAACACAAGCATAATGTCAAAATTTTTCACTAGTGTATAACAGCCGTATATACTTCAGTTTTACAGACTACTGGTAATACTGACAATGATGTATATCAGCCAATAAATTTTAGATTTACAGACCACTAGTAATATCGACAATTGTGTTTAACAGCCACTTACATCTCAGTCTTACAGACTACTAATAATCTTACTGTAATGGACGTAGCGTGTATATATGTATCTATCTACGCATGTGACCGACAAATTAAATATAATGCGGCGCCGCCCCCCAGTGGCACAGCGGTATGTCTGCAGACTTACAACGCTAGAAACCGGGTTTCGATACCCGTGGTGGGCAGAGCACAGATAGCCCTTGTGTAGCTTTGTGTATAATTAAAAAAACAAACAATAATGCGGCGCTATCTATTTAATGGTACCACAAACAAAAATCCATAACCAATTTCACACTTTGGGTATTCAAGATTCAGACAAATAGAAAAATATCTACGGTATGTGCAACAATTATTTATTTATGACAAAACAAAATTTTAAATAAAAGTACACAGCGTGGTCACAAGTAAATAGACACCACCTTTTCAGAAAAAATGAAATTTTTCAGTCATATTCACATGAATTGATATATTTATAATTTAAATAATATCTAGTAAATCTTCCTTTCACTTCGTGGAGTTCGTTTATCCTTTGGGGCATCGTGAGAATCATCTCGTCAATTTTAGATTGTGGGATTTTCGCCCACTCTTGCTTGAAAACTTGGAGTAGATCGCTCTTCGAAGTTGGTTTTTTTTTATGTTTCTTGACTTGCTGGTCGAGTATGGCCC